AACCCTACCTGGTGCTCCAGGTAATAAGGGTTCAGCCAGGGCCTGGCACTCAGGAAGCAAAGCAGATCATCAGATTGTCTAACAGTTTTAAAAATACAAGTACATGTGCCGTGCATGGTGGCGCACACCTGTAATCCCAGTACTCGGGAGGCTGAGGCAGGAGGATCCTTGGGAGTTCAAGGCCAGCCTGGGCTACAAACTGAGCTCAAGGCCAGCCTGAACTGCATAGCGAGACCCTGTCTCAAAAAGACAAATAATAATAATAATAAAAAAAATACAGGTACACAAGCTCCTGTCCAAACCCATTCAGGTAAGCATAGTTTCCATGCACAGCATGAAATGCATCAAGTTTGAACCCATTCAGGGCGGCAATTCCCAGCACTGCAGTCAGCGGACGTCGGCTTCCCTACAAACGCGCAGCAGAGCACAGCCACAGGCGGATGCCAGGCGGGCAGTCCCTCAGGTCCCTCCTGTCCCTTTCTGTCCCCGGAGGGACCCAGCAGAAGGAGGAACACAACCAAAGGGTGAGTGTGGAGCAAGAGTCTGCGTGTTCAGGGTCCCAGGTTTACACAGCCATTCATGACAAAAACACTGCCTACTCTTTAAACTGCTCCTCGAGGGAAATCCTGGAAGAACTTTTCCTTAGTTCCTGTCCCAACGACCTCTCAATATCTCAGAGCTGCTAGGGCACATTAACAATGTGGATGTAAACCACCATTTTACTACAAAGCTTTGTGTAAATTACTTGTTTAGCACACTTAAAAAATTGTATTCCAGGGACTGGGGATTTAGCTCAGCGGCAAAGCGCCTACCTGTCAAGTGCAAGGTTGTGAGTTCGATTCCTGGTACCAGAAGAAAAACAAAAAGACAAAAAAATTGTATTCCAGGGACTGGGGATTTAGCTCAGTGGCACAGCGCCTGCCTGGCAAGCGTGAGGTCATGAGTTCAATTCCCGGTACCAGAAAAAAAAAAATTGTATTCCAAAAAGCCAGATACAGTAGCACAGGACTATAATCCCAGGTACTCAGAAGGCCGAGGCAGGAGGATTATAAATTCAAGACCAGGCTGGACAATTTAGGGAGAACTTGTCTCAAAATTAAAAAAAAAAAAAAAAAAAAAAAAAAAGTTTGGGTGTGGCTCAACCATAGAGTATTTGCCTAGTGACTGGAGACACTGAAGAAAGAGGAACAGAGGCTGAGGAAGGGAGAGAGAAAGAAAAGAGAAGGGAGGGACAGGAGGTGGGAAGAAGCCTCGAAAGAATAATGTAGATTCCCTTACCATAAAGCTCCCAAAGGCTGACAAAATGACAACGGACAAGCATTTAGGGTACTGCTGAGCTCAGAAAACAAAAATAAAGGAAGTACCAAAGGGCAGGTACTGTGACCTTACGCCTGTAAAGTTCAGAAACTGTCACTGCCAGCCGAGCTGGGGGTCACTGCCGGGCATCCTGGCTGAGGCCCGCCTGGGATCCACCTTCTAGAAGAGGGTGACTGGGAAAGTCTCCCACCAAAGGTAGCTGATACGAAAAGCTGCAGCTTCAGGCACACCCATTAATGTTCTCCCCAGAACAAACCGAGTGTAGATCCACCTGGGAGGTAGGGAAACGTCTGGCATTATAATAAATTAAAGCTGAGCTGGGTTTATAACAGCTGGGCATGGTGGCCCAGGACTGTAACGCCAGCACTTGGGAGGCTGAGGCAAGAGGGCTGCTAAGAGTTCCAGGCCAGCTTGAGCTCCACAGCGAGACCTTGTCTCAAAACAAACAAAATCCCAAAATAAAACTGGAGCAAATAGGTCCTTTTTTACAGAGAAGCATATCTGATGCAACTACCAGCATCCCCATCAAATGAAGGCCAGTGAAGAAGAGAAGCCACTCGGAGGAAGTGGCAGAAGGACACCGATGACAAGATCCTCCCACCGCAGGGTTGGACCTGTAACTCTGGAAGGAGACTGAGGCAGGGCCTCAGCACAGCTTGCAATCAAGTGCAAATAAGATAGCAGAAATAATGCAAGTATATGGGTAATTATAAATAAACCTTTAAATTCTACTGCGTGTCTATTCCTTTGTGTATGAATTTTTCATAATGAAAAGACAGTGGGGGGCTGGGGAATCAAACCCAGCAGCCGGTACCACGGAGTTACATCCCCAGCCTTTTCTCATTTTAATTTGGAGACAGGGTCTGGCCCAGTTGCCCACACTGGCCTCAAGCTGCGCTCTTTCGGGCTCGGCCTCCTAAGTGGCTGGAATCACAGTGTGCCATTGTGCTGGGCTAAAAATATTTTTAAAGAATAATCAAATGACTTTGGATCTTTAAACTTTAATTTGGCGGCCACAACAGTCAAAACATCCCCTTTCTAAGCCTAAAGATGACCTGGTATCTATGCTATTGCCCTCTTTCCTTGCAGCTTCTTAGGACTAGCAAACATCCCTCCCCACCCCCACACCCCTGCCAAAAGGCTGCCTTAGGCTCTGCAAGGCCATCACCCCGGAAGCCAGACACAGATCTGAATCCTGCCTCTATGTCAGTTCACAAGTCTAATCAACTCTGTCCTTGATTTCCTCAACCGTAAATTGAGCAGGATATTATCTACCAAGTAGGACTGATACCAAGTAAATTTATACACATGTACTTGTGTATATGACATGGTTCTTCACATAGAAAACGTATTTGACAGCACTTGAGGGGCTCTTTAGGCTTGGAAAGGGGATGCTTTGACTATTGCGGCTCCCTAAATTAAAGTCTTGAGTCTGAGGCCAGTCTGGGCTACACAGTAAACTCAAGGTCAGCTCAGACTATGCACCACTGAGTTCAGGGCCAGCCTGGACTACATAGCAGGACTCTGTCTCAAAAACAAACAAAAGTGCATGTGACAAATAGCATTGTTATGAGCATCACAGGAGACCATTCAGTCATTAATTCAACAAGGACGATTTTTCGAAAAGCCAATATGGACCATCTCCTGTCCTAGTAGTGTCAGACCTTTTGGGACAGAGATAAGCGAGCAACTCCTTGATGTGATCCTGCCTAGCAGTTTGTTTTGCGCCTGTCATCTACCCATAGAATTGTATTTAATGTGCCTGGCAATCACAGAAAGGACTGTCACTTCCACTGTGCAGACGAGAAAACTGAGAAGAAACGGGTCCAATTCACACTTGGCGGTGGAAGAGGAACTACAACTCGGGTGCTGCTAGACCCCAAAGCCGTGCCTTAACGCCTTCCCTGCTCTGCGCCGCTCCGGGAAGGCTTCACGCTCAGGTACACGCAGGGGATACAGAGCGTGGCCCCCGCGCTTTACTAAGGCCCTCCTGCTGAGCCGCATCTCTAGTCTCCTTCTTTCTGATACAGGGTCTCACTCACTGGCCCAGGCTGGGCTGGGTCAACCTTGGGGTCTTTCCGCCTCACCTTTCCCAAGTGCTGGGATGATGGGCATGCATCTCCAAACCTAGTTTATTTTCACATTATTTTAAGCCAAAAATTAGAGAACTCTAAAAATAATGGATTTCATAAGCAGAGAATACAGCACTGCTCTGCTAGGGTGAATTCTCTGCCAACTTCCTGACCGCTCATCTCCTGTTCCTTTTTTTTTTTTTTTTTTTTTTTTTTTTTTTTTTTTTTTTTTTTTTTTTGCAGTGCTTGTAATTCCAGCACTGCGGAGGGTGTAGCAGAAGGGTCATTGCAAGTTCGAGACCAGCCTGGGCCACAAAGTGAGCTCAAGGTCAGCCTGAACTGCATAGTGAGACACTGTCTCAAAAAGACAAAAAAAAAAAAAAGAGGGAAAGTTACATCTAATGTTCACACTAATGCATCTAAATTTTGTGGTTTTCATATATCAGTATTTCCCTGGGTGTTACAAAGTGAACTGTCACTTCTCAAGAATTTACATCTGGTTTGTTTTTTAATGGAGAATGCCTATGTGATAAATGATGCCACAAAAATGAGGAGGATTCGATCCAAATAAGGAAGCACTTTCTATAACGGTTTTCCCTCCCCACATTCAACAACGTGTGGTTGCCCAACGTGTGGTTTAAAATCCTGCAAGCACATCCTAATTAAAAAACGAATAAAAATAAAAAATTTTAATAAGATACTAATTCTTCCACAGATGTTACAGATTACATTATAGGAGAGTAACACTTCTACCTAATAAAATACAGTAATTACCTTTCAAGGCTTAAAGTAACAGCAGTAAAAACTCTTGAGTTTCAAGAAGTAAACACAATGTAACAGCAAGTAGGGTCGATTAAGCTGAAAATAACAAGCACCTTCAAAACGAAGCAAAGCATTTTCACTTGATAAAGAAACCACTCTTCCATTCATTTAAGAATGAATCAAACCTAAAACTGCAAGAGGTTTCATACATTACTTCAAGAGACCCAATTCTGCAGGAAATAAACAGAGATCGAAATCACTGTCACGGAGTTAACTGTTGACCTATTTTCCCACAGGGCCGCCGCCGCCCTGCGCTCCGGGGCTCAGCGATCCGTAAGCCTCTGCGCATTCGCGGTCCTACAGTTCACAAGGACGAGACGGCAACATCGAAAATCTCCACCATTGACCCTGTTTAAATCACCAAGTTTTGCTTAACCGTGACAACATCTGAGAAGTTACGGGAGCGCGTGCATTCTGCCGCTCGAGGAAGGGTCTTGTCCCGGGCCGAGCCGCAGCCAGCGCAGCGGGCGAGACAGTTCTGAAGAACAGGAAGGAAGGGAAGAAGCAAAACAGAAAGAAGGAAAGAAATCTATGCTGCGTCCGGGCTCTAAGCTCCCGGCGAGAACTGGACGCCTCCGCCCAGCAGAGGCGGAGGCCAGGGCCCCGGCCGACCGCCGCCGGGCTTTGCCGCAGCCCGAGTCGGAGGAGCTGACGGCGCCGGAGC